CAAAGTCTTTCTCGATCAAGTTACGGTAATGAAGATGAAAGTTTTGGACTTTCTTGTCTGTGAGACTGACTGACTGACTGAGTTTGGTTTTACACCGCTTTTAGCAATATTCCAGCAACATCACGGCGGGGGACACCAGAAATGGGCTTCACACGTTGTGCCCATGTGGGGATTCGAACCCTGCGGCGTGACGAGCCAACGCTTTAAACATTAGGCTACCCCACCGCCCCTTGACTGTGAGAGAGATTGTCATTTCTTTAGAGTTCAGTATGAAACCTAAGAACACACTTTTCTGAGAAGGCTGTAACACTAACTTCTCATAGTTAATCAGAAATCCTAGTTTCTCAAGCTGATGTTTCATAACATCAATATTCTCCTTGCATAATGCCTATGTTTGTCCCTGGAGATAAGAGTCATCAATATAGATAACTGATAAGTAACCCATCTCCCTCAAAGTACTGAACACAGGTTTCAAAAGCTTTGTGAATATGCGAGGAGCTGACGTCAAGCCAAAGGGAAGACATTGATATTGATAGGTTGTACCTCTCCAAATGAAACGCAAATATTTTCTATCCTCCTCTGCAATACTGACAGCATAATAAGCTTCTTTTAAGTCAACAGAGCCCATAAGAGCTGATTTAAGGTGTTCCATCTTGAACTGGAGTTTTTCAACACAGTAGTTCAGTTTTTTTAAATTCAGGATGAGTCTATAAGTGCCATCTGATTTTGGCACTAGGAACACAGTGCTGACATAACCTTCCTGTGTAGAAGGAACTGCTTCTATGATACCTTTGTCTAGCATGATATTGACCTCTTTATCCAAATATGCACCTTGTGTAGCATTTAGCTTGGTTTCTCGGACAGAATTCTGGCATGGTAGATCTACAAAATCAATCTTACATCCTCTTACAATCTGGAGAATGTTTTCATCAAATGTCAATCGTTCTCATTCATCAATGAATTCTTTTAGCCTACCAGCAATAGGAAAAACAGTGTCACTCACCTGTCCTACTCTTGCCCCTCAATAGAGCCCTGCGGTTATTCTGAGACTGGGACCTGAATGTTGGGTAACGAGGTGGGTGCTTGGGGCAAGACTGGCGGATAAAAGGGCTGGTCTAAAAACCGGCAACCGCGTCCTCTGAATTGGAAACCTCCACGGTCTGCTCCACGACCCCTTGGGGCGAAGGACCGCTGGCCAACTCTGAGCATAAGCTTATTTGTCTCTGAAAGTTCCTTTATTTTCTCATTGAGGTTGTCCCCAAACAGAAAGTCGACACTGGCATACCATGTCCACAGAGATTTGAATTCTGGTTTTATGTCCTGACGAATAAGGCCACGCCTACGTATGCTCAGCTCATAACTGGCACTGGCAATAAGGGCCACACCATCGACCACCTGACTCAAAATCTGTGACTCAGAGCTTAACGCATTCAGGCTATTGATAGCCATGGTGATGGGAACTAGTCCACGGCAGAGAGTTTCTTGTATTTTCCGGGATTTTACATCCCTTGATTTGCTGTCTGTGTCCATTATCTGCCAAATTCCGGGGTTTACTCTAGGTGGCTTTAATTTTGTCATGTTTGATGGTGGGTTGTATTTCTTGCCGAGATCCTGTCTCCGTTTTTCCTCAAGCCTTGTTGTCATGAGGCCGTCAACAAGTTCAGCAACCCCTTTGTCGACAGGGGGGGGGCTAATCTTTTCAGTTGTCCTGAACTTCTCGGCGAGATTCTGAATGGCAGGAGTTTCGATGCTCTCGGATGTTGATGGCATGGGAGCGGCCATGACTGCTCCAGTGGAGGTAACTGCTCTTCCGTTCTCTGCATCAGCCTGTGTCCCGTGACACAACTGGCCATCGCTTGCAGCCGATTGGGTATGCAAATTAATAGCTAAATTGTCCCCCCGTTTCTGTGTCCATTCCATCATCACCTTCCTCAAACCACTGTTTTTGCATAAAGTCAACCATCGAAACTACAGCACTCAAGGTTGCTTGCATAGATTTTAGCAAGTTAAATTGTTCATCACTCAATGCACTCTCAGTGTCATCCTTGGAAGTACTTGCAGTACTTGAAGCAACCCGATCGCGCAGGTGAAGTTATGTCCTACGATGCAGGGCATCGAAGCAAAGAGGCGCAAGATTTCGTTGACGTAACGCTGTCCTGTCAGATTACCGGGAACAAGAAGCAGGGCCCTCATTCTCGAAACATTCGTAGCCCTAAGAATTCTAAACTTTAATCGTAGCCAAAGTGTTAAGAATGGACTTAGGGCTACGAACGTTTCGAGAATAGCTAGCCTGACCCGCCCTCCTATCGTAAGAAACACCTCCCCAGAACATAACACTCCCTCCACCGAAGGAATCATGCTCCATGATAGTGTTACGACTGTATCTCTCGCCACGTCTTCGCCATATACGTTTGCGGCCATCAGTGAATCATAAACAGAACATGGACTCGTCATCAGAGTACATTGTCACAAAAGGCAACTATGCTTGTCGTAATAGGCAACTAACAGGATTGGGTGGTCAGGCTCGCTGACTTGGTTGACACGTCATCGGTTCCCAATTGTGCAGATAGATGCTCATGCTGTTGATTACTGGATTGTCTGGTCCAGACTCGATTATTTACAGACCACCGCCATATAGCTGGAATATTGCTGAGTGCGGCGTAAAACTAAACTCAATCAGAGTACAATTTGGTTGGGGACTAAATATATCCCAGACAGATACTCTACCTTTAAGCTGGCATATTGAACATAGAAATGATCTCAACATAAACTTGTATTTGTGTTTAATAAGTAATCATACTTGGCTAAGCCACTGACAAGGTGGTTGGTTGTTTAACGCCGCACTAAGCAATATTCCAGCTATGTGGCGACGGTCTGTAAATAATGGAATCTGGATCTATGCAATTGGGATACAATGACATGTTTCAATCAAGTCAGCGAGCCTGACAACCAGATCCCACTGGTCGCCTCTTATGACAAGAATGGGTTCCTGATGACAATTTTAACCAGATCTTCATGGTTTAAGATTTTAAAAGATTGGGTTGACTTCCATTATTAAAATGTACACCATCTAACCGTGGCTTAGTTTCGCTCTCACTGTGGGATAGCTGTCATAACGGTTACTTCACGTTGCTATACTGAGAACATTTGTTAAATAAGACTAACATGGTTACTCCAATGACAATATGAACTCATTTAAATAGGTAAGGTCATCTACAAATCAGTTACTTGCCACACAGTTCTTACTTCAAGCTCGAGAGAAAAAGGAAATCCGACAGTTTCTCCTCTGGTGAACAGGGAGGATGTTCATCAAGTTCCAAACCATTCTAGAGTGGTAGCCAGAAAAACAGATTTGCTCATTGTCCTGGTTGTACGACACGTCTTTGACAGTTTCTTATTGTTGCAAGAGCTAATTATCTGAAAGGAATTCCAGAAAAGAGAAGCCATCATCTTGCAGTATGATGGAACATACATGGCCTTCTTCTGGTCAAAACTGCTTGAAGTTTCCACCACTTCATATGTAGTTTAGTTTCAGACTGTCTCCCTTAAGGAAAATAACAATGTTTTTCATAGCATATATTTAATACTGGAATAGCATTACAACAAATCATATGAACATTATCAACTTCTTGAATAATACTTCCACATTACACATGACAACCCCAGAGCTAAGGAAAGCAAGATTTATGGAAGTCAGCTTCTTCATTGTCAATAACAGGATTTCGGAGTGTATGCTTGCTCCTTCATCAGGTGCGCAAGCATACACTCCGAAACGTGGTGTTATTCACAATAAAGAAGTTGACTTCCATATATCTTCCTTTTCATATATATTCCACTTTAATGCCCTTCAAAGATTTAACCCCTGAGGTGATAACATGTAAACACTGACATAAAGTGATCTATGTTAGTTATACCAAATGTTCATTGTAATGTTTTGTGAACTCTTGCTTTCCTTTTTTTAATAATTAAGACATAAGGTTCAACAACTGAGGAATGAGAAAACCAGTTGTTTTTCTCTGTACAAATTCCATTGAAGTTTGAAACTGATGCGATAAGTTCAACACTATCTTTATGACTAAAGTCTAAAGACATCTGAAGAAACTGTCCCAGGTATGGTGACTCAAAGGACGGTTTTGGATCATGCCGTTTCAAGCATTAAATATTTAACCTTTAAATGGTTAACCATGAACCATTAATTTATATGGATAATAACAAATGTTATACATGTACACAAATCATACTCTGTTTAATCAAAATATATAATGCCCTTTCCTGGTTTTGATCTCCAAGAGATAACAACAAAGTTGACTTAATTCACATGCACTTTCTAGTATTCTACAGTGTGGCCTTTTAAAACAAATGAGGTCTGAAGTAGTCACGGATGTGGGTCAAGTATGACTTGTATAATAAAATATGAACAATGGGTGAGTGAGTTGTGTTTAATGCCACTTTTAACAGTATTCCTCTTTTTGACAGCATATGTGAGTGAGTGAGTTTAGTTTTACGCCGCACTCAGCAATATTCCAGCTTTATGACGGCTGTATGTAAATAATCGAGTCTGGACCAGACAATCCAGTGATCAACAGCATGATCATCGATCTACACAATTGGAATACGATGACATGTGTCAACACAGATAGCACGTGTAATGACTGAAGGCTGGAATCTTAAAATAGTGAAAATACTCAACAATAAGAAGAAATCCTTACAACTGGAATAATCTGGCATTGATCTTGCAATTTCAGTAATTTTAAATGCTGAAATCAGACATTATAAGTTGTTCACTGGCCAGTGAACAACGTATTTATCTTACCGAACACCTTAATGTTAATTTTGAATTGTTTGAAGCACGGGTAGAAATCTTTGTGTAGCCATCGCTAGATTTTGCTGACAAGAAAAACAGATTTAGAGTTATCTCCCTTCCATCGATTTGCATTCGCAAAACATCGGTAATTTCCATATATCATACGTGATTCAATGTAATTAGAGATAAAGAATTACTACCACAAAGTACCAAATGAGTTGCCATTGACAGCAGGGTACATTGAAAATAATAGAAGAGCTCTCAGCCAATCAGAAAGCGACATTTATGTGTGAGGTGAGATAAAATACTTTGCATGCTTTGTCACTGTGGCTTCTAAAGCCTTGGAATAAGTAAGTGAGTGAGTATGGTTTATGCTATAGAAGCCACAGTGATATATGGCTGAATGGAAATGAAGTCTGTCAGTTCTTCACACTGAGTGGCGTCTCACCTGTTTAAAATATTTGATTAAACTCAGAAAACCAACAAATAAGCTGCTGAGCTGGGATTTCTGTTTGCGACATATACAAATGTTTCCTGATACAGGAATGTTACAGGACCTGCAACACCCAGCATGCGACATGGCGAGTGAGGCTGATGAAATGTTACTTGTTCAAACATCTTTGAGAACAAACTGACATATTTTCGTAAATATCCCAGCCAAACACTGACAATATCAAACTATCAGTCCGTAGCACAGTTTGTTTTGAGGAAGGTAATGCACTTTGTCGTTTAGAGCCACAAACAGGTCTTTAGCAAAAAGATCCTCAAGCTCCACTCCCACACGTCCGACTCTCAATCTGTTGGAGAAGGAGCCATTTTATATAAATCATCATCACTAACATCATCAAACTCCAAATCCCCAAGAGGGACATCTGATCCTTCGGAAGAAATTGTTATACCTCCAGCATCATCATCAACCCTGTACTCATCATCACTGTTAGAGTCCTCCTCATCACTGAAGTCCGCTATCTCCACGTCCATCACTTCAATCATCTGCCCTGGTTCACCTAAAACCACATCCTTCATGGCTTCATCCATGTCCACAGTCCTCACTCCCTGCTCTTTCAGCAGCCGTGCAAAATCCTTGATCATAAAGACGTCTGCCACCATCACAGTGGGATCCAGATTGACTAACTCGGGCTTTCCGGAAGGCCGAAGAGCTCTTTCATTCATGGAGATTCGAAGATCTATAATTTTCTCCGGCTTGTGTCGATGTTTGTTCTTTAAGTGGGACCTCATGTTCTTGCAGTGGTAACTGTCGTACTTGCAGTAGCCACACTTGTAGATTCGTCCATCCAGATGTTCCTCAACATGTTGGCTGAAGCTCTCCTTGTCCACGGCCTGATATCCGCAGAAACCACATTTCAATAACAGACCCAGGGACATGTCTGGGTTGAGGTGCTTGAAACTGCCATGTGAAGCAAGATGGCTGCGGAACTTGTAGAGGGATCCCACCTTGTACCGACAGAGGTGACAGCAGTAGATTCTGATGGATTGAGCTGGAAACGAAAACATCACACATGAACTACAGATCAGAAGGTCAGACAAGATTGAAAAGTCCTCATATTGTGCAATACTCATTGTAAAGAACTTTTTAATCTGTTTAGAAAAGCCTTCATCTTAAACCCAAGCTTAACTTATAAGGATAATTAGTTCTCATTCTGCTTAGAGAAGCCTTCATCTTATGCCCTAACTGAACTTAAATGAATAACTAGAAAGTGTTTTTACTCATAAAATTTAAACGTTGAGACCTCAAACATTTCATTTGATTCCTTCAATTTCAAAATCTCTAAGAATGAAAATACATATTACTGATAGTATGTTATTATGTCTTCATTTAATATTTATATATTCAACTGGACTTAATTGCTTATCAACAAATCAACAACTCCACAGTTATATTTTACAAGACATTCAGAATTCTAAATGATTCTATTTTGAATTCATAAATGAATCTGTTGTTTTTCAGTCACAGAGTTGTCTCTAGTCAATAAAAACAAATGCTGAAATCAAAATCAAATTTTATCACATTCAGTTACAGATGTAAGTTTTCCCCTGGAATCTAATCAAGAACAAGATAGCTGATATCATGGAAACTGTAGTAGCATGGAACAACACCAGAGCCTGGGTATGCTGTATCTCTCTCTCTCTCTCAATAAGTGAAACAGAAAAAAATAAAACTGAAAGAAATTTGGTGAAGATGGGTATATTAGTTTCAGAATTATGCTCTGGAAAAGAACATTACTCTTCAAAAAGACAAAAGTCCAAATTGTTGCCATGAAAGCAGAAAAAAATAAAATTGAAAAAACCCACCTCAAACCCCCAAAAGGTGAAGATTGTTCAAGTAGTTTTAGAATTATGTTCTGGAAACAGAGGAACGCCAATGCCAACAGAAACTCAACCACAAACAATATGTCTCCCGATGCTTCCGGTAAAGGTTCATCTTAAACCTTATCTTAATGTATGGGGATAATTAGTTCTCAATCTGCTTAGAAAAGCCTTCATCTTAAACCTTATCTTAACATATAAGGATAATTAGTTCTCAATCTGCTTAGAAAAGCCTTCATCTTAAACCTTATCTTAATGTATAAGGATAATTAGTTCTCAATCTGCTTAGAAAAGCCTTCAGCTTAAACCTTATCTTAATGTATGAAGATAATCATTTCTCAATCTGCTTAGAAAAGCCTTCATCTTAAACCTTATCTTAACGTGATGCATGAGGATAATTAGTTCTCAATCTGCTTAGAAAAGCCTTCATCTTAAACCTTATCTTAATGTATAAGGATAACTAGTTCTCAATCTGCTTAGAAAAGCCTTCATCTTTAACCTTATCTTAACGTATGAGGATAACTAGTTCTCAATCTGCTTAGAAAAGCCTTCATCTTAAACCTTATCTTAATGAATAAGGATAACTAGTTCTCAATCTGCTTAGAAAAGCCTTCATCTTAAACCTTATCTTGATGCATGAGGATAATTAGTTCTCAATCTGCTTAGAAAAGCCTTCATCTTAAACCTTATCTTAACGTATAAGGATAATTAGTTCTCAATCTGCTTAGAAAAGCCTTCTTCTTAAACCTAATCTTAACGTATAAGGATAATTAAGTCTCAACCTGCTTAGAAAAGCCTTCATCTTTAACCTTATCTTAACGTATAAGGATAATTAGTTCTCAATCTGCTTAGAAAAGCCTTCATCTTAAACCTTATCTTAATGTATAAGGATAACTAGTTCTCAATCTGCTTAGAAAAGCCTTCATCTTAAACCTTATCTTTCTTGATGCATGAGGATAATTAGTTCTCAATCTGCTTAGAAAAGCCTTCATCTTAAACCTTATCTTAACGTATAAGGATAATTAGTTCTCAATCTGCTTAGAAAAGCCTTCATCTTAAACCTTATCTTAACATATAAGGATAATTAGTTCTCAATCTGCTTAGAAAAGCCTTCATCTTAAACCTTATCTTAACATATAAGGATAATTAGTTCTCAATCTGCTTAGAAAAGCCTTCATCTTAAACCTTATCTTAATGTATAAGGATAATTAGTTCTCAATCTGCTTAGAAAAGCCTTCATCTTAAACCTTATCTTAACATATAAGGATAATTAGTTCTCAATCTGCTTAGAAAAGCCTTCATCTTAAACCTTATCTTAAACATTATAAGGATAATTAGTTCTCAATCTGCTTAGAAAAGCCTTCATCTTAAACCTTATCTTAACGTATATAATGATAATTAGTTCTCAATCTGCTTAGAAATCTGCTTAGCCTTCATCTTAAACCTTATCTTAACATATAAGGATAATTAGTTCTCAATCTGCTTAGAAAAGCCTTCTTCTTAAACCTAATCTTAGCATTATGGATAAGGATAATTAGTTCTCAATCTGCTTAGAAAAGCCTTCATCTTAAACCTTATCTTAACGTATAAGGATAATTAGCTCTCAATCTGCTTAGAAAAGCCTTCATCTTAAACCTTATCTTAACGTATAAGGATAACTAGTTCTCAATCTGCTTAGAAAAGCCTTCATCTTAAACCTTATCTTGATGCATGAGGATAATTAGTTCTCAATCTGCTTAGAAAAGCCTTCATCTTAAACCTTATCTTAACGTATAAGGATAATTAGTTCTCAATCTGCTTAGAAAAGCCTTCATCTTAAACCTTATCTTAACATATAAGGATAATTAGTTCTCAATCTGCTTAGAAAAGCCTTCATCTTAAACCTTATCTTAACGTATAATGATAATTAGTTCTCAATCTGCTTAGAAAAGCCTTCATCTTAAACCTTATCTTAATGTATAAGGATAATTAGTTCTCAACCTGCTTAGAAAAGCCTTCATCTTCAACCTTATCTTAACGTATAAGGATAATTAGTTCTCAATCTGCTTAGAAAAGCCTTCATCTTAAACCTTATCCTAACATATGAGGATAATTAGTTCTCAATCTGCTTAGAAAAGCCTTCATCTTAAACCTTATCTTAACATATAAGGATAATTAGTTCTCAATCTGCTTAGAAAAGCCTTCATCTTAAACCTTATCTTAACATATAAGGATAATTAGTTCTCAATCTGCTTAGAAAAGCCTTCATCTTAAACCTTATCTAAATATATGAGGATAATTAGTTCTCAATCTGCTTAGAAAAGCCTTCATCTTAAACCTTATCTTAACTTATAAGGATAACTAGTTCGTGCTATGTACCAAATACAGACACTGAATCGATGTACCGATATGAAAGTAGTTCCTTCCAGAGCACCTCATTTACATAATTATCAGATAGTGGTACGAAATTTATAGGACTGGTTTATTGCATTCACAACAATAGCCACTATATGGTTAGGAACAATACGGTCAAGTGAAAGGTTCTGGATGGATGAGGGGATGTTTTCTGCTGCATCAGCAATATTCCAGCTTCATTACTGTGGCCTGATAATAATCTGGGTCATGACAGTGACATAGCCAAGGCAACAATCCTCACCATCAAGTGTACTGATTAAAAGAAATGTATAAGGTTTTGCAACAACATGACCTGATAACTACTTTGTCCAGCATTATGTAATTTCAAAACAAACAATAGTGCCATGGCAATGTAGCTCACATAACATCTTATATTTGGGATTACACTTTCTTAGTAAAGTACAGATTCTAGTACTTTTGTTGGGTTGAGTCCCATTCAGGCCTTGAACCCACAGTCAAGAGACAGGCACCTAATCGCTAGCACACAAAGTCAGCTGTCTAACCCACTCAGCCACCACTGTGCTTTACTGAGAAAGTGTAATCCCAAATATAATGTGTTATTGCTGCTTCAGCATGTTCAGGTTGTAAACCCTACTATTTCGTTTTTCTGCCTTTCCATCCCTACTGACATCCAAAACTAGATAAATAGTGATTAAATGACATCAATACTTACAGGTAGTTTTCACCTTCTTTTCTTTGCATGCTCTGCTGGGTTCATCTTCATCCGACGATGAGATCACAGGCTTTATCCTTCGTCTTTTCTTTTTAGCAGGTTTCATCACAATTATGGAATCAGAATCGGACTCGGACTCAATGTCTCCTTTGCACTTTGAAGCCTTGTTCTCATAATTAACTTCACGTTTTTGTTGTACTGTTGATTGTCTCGGAGTTTCAGCCTCTGATACTGTACTGGAAGCATCTGGTTTGCTTGTTTCAGTCTGTGAGGAAATCTTGATCTTTTTATTGTTGGCACGCTCAACACATATGGGAATAATATCCCGTACCTTCTTTTTGATTTTTTGTCTGGCAGCTTCAGCTTCAGGAATTTTATTCCCATGAAGTCTCTCCACACAATGCTTGGCAAGATGTGTCTTAATGTCAGACTTCCTATTCCTGTAGATATCACAGTAAACACACACATATTTGTAATATACTCTCTCTTCATGGTCACTATTATCGGGACTGCTCGGCACAAGTGCTGCATACATGGACTCCTCAGGATCACTATCGTTTGTGGCAGTTTTAGAGTCTCTAGATACATCTTTAGTAGAGTCCTTTGAAGAACTATTTGATGCTTCAGCACGATGCTGAGTTTTCTTTGAATCTTTCAATTCTGGAGAAATTTTGTCCTTTAGAGGTTTTGATGACTTTGTTGTGGCAGTTTTAGAGTCTCTAGATACATCTTTAGAAGAGTCCTTTGAAGAAATATTTGATACTTCAGGACGATGCTGAGCTTTCTTTGAATCTTTTACTTCTGGAGAAATTTTGTCCTTTAGAGGTTTTGATGACTTTGTTGTGGCAGTTTTAGAGTCTCTAGATACATCTTTAGAAGAGTCCTTTGAAGAAATATTTGATACTTCAGCACGATGCTGAGCTTTCTTTGAATCTTTTACCTCTTGAGAAATTTCGTCCTTTAAAGTTTTTGATGACTTTGTTGTGGTAGTTTTAGAGTCTCTAGATACATCTTTAGTAGAGTCCTTTGAAGAACTATTTGATGTTTTCTTTGAATCTTTCAATTCTGGAGAAATTTCGTCCTTTTGAGGTTCCGATGACTTTGTTGGATTTGGAGCTTGATCAGACTCTGAAGATCCTTCTGGAAGTGCAGACTTTTTCTGGGCAGCATTAGAAGACTTCCCTGAAGAGTGACTGTCATCAATACCAGGAGCCACCTCAGAAGGTTGGGAACCTGTAACTTCTTGAAGTAGACTTTCCAGAGGAATGTCTTCATACAAAATCTCCTTTCCTTTGTGGAGAAATCGGCTGTGGCTTTTCAGTGAGTCTTCTGTAATGTAAGGAGCTGAACAATAAGCACAATGCATTAGTTTACTCACATTATGCTCAATTTTCAGATGTAGCACTCCCTTGGTCTTACTGCAATCCACAAAGCTACACTTGGGACACTTGTAAGACACATGTCTAGGTTCTGATTCTAGTGTCTTCGGTTTTTTAGCAGGTTGTACTTCTGCATTTTCCTCTAGACATGTTTCTTTTCGCTTTTTTAACTTTACTCTCTCTGAAATATCACTGACAACTTTGTCCCCAACATCAACTTTTTCAAGAACCACTCTTGCTTCTTCCATGCTCATTAGAGAAGACTCCCTTTCATTTTGGTCATGCTCCTTTGCAGGTTCAGAATGAGCACTTTCTGAATTTTGGTTACCGTCCTCACAATTTTCCTTCTCAGAATGTAGAAGTGGCCATTTTTGAAAAGTATCAGGTGTAAAATCATCATCAAAATCATCACCACCTTCATCTCCACTTTCGATGTTATTCTCTTGCACTACATCTGGTTCATCCATGGTCTCCAGCGGATGCTTATGCTTGTAATGAGATTTCAATAACTCCAGCAGATGTGTCTTGAATTTACAAAACTTGCATGTGAAATAATCAGGAACTAACGATTTTGGAGAATTTGTTGTGACTGTGGTTGTTTTCGTTCCAGAGTTGTTATGAACTTTGAAAACGTGTGTGCCAACGCTGTTCTTTGTCAAGGCCATATAATCACACAATCGACACTTGAACCTTTTCAAACCTCCTGCAGTTACAGGCATCACATTCTTTGAAATTTTCCCCGGACTTCTTACAGGCTTGATTGGACTGGTAGGCTTGATTGGACTGGTAGGCTTTCTCCTTGCAAGGATGTCAGAAAGCTTAGGCTTTACAGCTTTTGCAGATTTGTTTCGTTCCTTTTTGTCCATATATTCCTTCACAGCAGACTCGATGTCCACATCAAGGAACTTGAAATAGACATGACTGCCTGGGTGCACTACTTTGATGTGTGCGCCCATTTTGCTCTGTTCCAAAAGTTCAAAATTACAATGTGGGCAAGCAACAAGATTGATCTTCAAATGTTTGAGAAGATGACAATGAAGAGAGTATTTGCTTGGGTAATCAGCTTTGCAGCTTTTGCAAATAAGTTTCCTTGTTCTTCCCATTCTGACGTCATACAGTGGCTGTAATTTCTGATCCAGCATGTCACTTCCAACCCTCAACTCTGTTTGTCTCTTGTAGGACGACGAATGATCAGGGCTTGATGACTTTGTGGTACTCAGATGGGATCTTTCAGGTCCCTTTTTACCCTCTTCTGATAAGAGATCTTTAATACTGTTGTGAAGATATCGAACTGTTAATTCATTCTCAGGATGCTTTCCTTTGCAGTGTTTGGCCACAGAATATCTTTCAAGCCCTGAAAAGTCACAGTAAGAGCATTTGAACAGCTGCAGACCAAAGTGCCTCCTCAATATGTGGCTATGCATAGAGTAAAGTGACTGGTGTTCTGTTTCACATCTTCTGCAGATCTTCTTCTTTCCAATAACTTTATACTTGCTCTTCAGCTTGTCATCTAATTCCTTTGTACCCAAAAACGGCTTGACGTCAGTGACGACCTGGTCATCCTGGATGAGCTTCCCAAGAACCTTGAAAATCTTTGGCCTTACTTCATCCACAACTGGAATGATTTCTTCTGTGTGACACTTTTTGTCATGGACATCAATCATGTGATCCTTCACAGTGTTCCTTCGAGAGCTCTTGAAATCACACTCCTTACATTTCCATAAAGAAATGTCTAAATGGTCCAGGATGTGGCCATGAAGGTAATTCTTCTTGTATAAATACTTCAAGCACATCATACAGCGATAGGATGATCCATGACACTCATATAACCACTCAAGTTCAGTGTCCAGTAGCGGACTCCCAAGTTGGAGTCTTGTATCATTCTGTTCCTCCTTCTTTGGAGCTGCATCTGTCATGACTTTTTTCACAGGACTTCCTATTTTTCCAGTCTCAACGACAATCTCTATTTCAGGATGGTCTTTAGCAATATGCCGTTGAATATTGGTTTTGTACACTGAGGAATGGTTGCATGCAATGCATCTGACTGGACTAATGAAAACACTGCTGTCGGGAATCGTCATCTTAAGGTTACCCTTAACTTTTTCTGTGTTGGTGTTGCCAACATGCTTTCCACCATCCTCAGCACCTTTGTTACTTGCTGGAGAGGGATCTTCATTTGTGGACGCATCCGATATCTGATTTGGGATCTTGTTGGTGCCAGACAGATGGCACCTCTGCCTGTGTTTATCAAGAACATCTTGGCCTAAACATTGGAAAGGGCATGAGGAGCAGTTCAATACTTCTGTCTTGGACACTTTCAGAGTACGACTAAACTGCAGTTGTGCCTTACCAGTTAGCTTGTGAATATTTGCCATATGATTCAACATTTCATCATTGCTGCCCATTTCAAATTTGCAAACTGAACATACATAGAGATTGTAGGTCAATAACTTGCTGTGTTTTCTTAAATGTATCTCAAAATTTGACAGAAAGCTAAATACCTCAGGGCACTCTGTGCATGGAAACGATGATGCCACTTTGTCGGCTTTCTTATCATGCTTAGCAATGTGAGTGTTCAAGTCATGTCTATTTAGACCAACGTATGTGCATAAATGACATCCCAAAACAGGATCTAGAGAAGTATCTAGAGAACCACCCAAACTGGTTTGATCACCTGGTTCATTACAGGAGAGGTGTGCATCTGTATTTTCAGGTGATGCTGGTGAAGCAGCTCTGTCAATCTCAAGGACAATGTTTTGATCTACTGGACCATCATCTCCCAACACTGCAGAAGCACCATCAGAAGCAGATGTTGAAGCATCAACTGGTAGTGCAGATGTAGATCTTGCTGAAGATACTGGTGGTGGAGATGTAGAACTTGCTGAAGATACTGGTGGTGGAGATGTAGAACTTGCTGAAGATACTGGTGGTGGAGATGTAGAACTTGCTGAAGATACTGACAGGGCATTTAAACGATTATCTTTCCTGTCCCTGCACACAAGGTGTTTCAACATGTTTGTCATTCTGCTTTTTCCGGGATGAGATTCCATGATGTGACGGACCAGCACAGTCTTGGCACAATCTCTAGCATTGCAATATCTGCAACTCACTATGTGAAGTACGTTTTCTTGCAGATGTTTCATGAAAGACACAAGATCAGAAAATGGATCCTTGCAGTAGTTACACTCATATTCCTTGACATCAGTATGATAGGTTGCCAAATGCTGGTAATAGCCCTGCAAGATATTGGTTGTGAATCTGCAGCCAGAGACTGAACACGTGTGCACAGCTACCCCAGGAGCATGACCTACATAATGCTTCACTAGATGACGTAGCAAGCTGTCAGGACCATCACTAGAATACTGACAATGGGAACACAAGAGTGAACCTGGCTGGTTACATTCGCCAACATGTTTCTTCAATTCTTGGGGATATAACGAAGAGTATCCACATTGTGCTCCACAAACATAAAACGTCCATGTTGTCGCTGCTTTGACAGGAGATGGTGTGTTACTGTTCAGATCTGTTTCTGATCTTTTAACCAATCTTTGTGAATCCTTGGCATCACTAGAAGTGTGACCTCCCTCAACAGATGAAACTGGTTTAGCAACATCTTTACTTCTTTGATCACTATCCTGAATAGGTGTTCTTGAAGTCAGATGTTCTTCTGTATTATGAGCATCCACTGAGGACACGGTTCCTGATGTAACCTTGATACTGGTCAGATCTGGTGTTGCTTTGGATTTTTCGTTGTTGGGGTGTAGTTCCTTTAATGAAGGTTCCTCTGCACAACTGGCTTTACCAGCATTAGAAGGATCCCCAGATTCCAAAGTAACAGACTGTTCCTCCACAACAGTTTTAGGAATTACTTCGCTTCCATGGACTGTTGGAGCTGATCCTTTCAGTCTTGATTCAAGTGTTATTGTTTTTTGTACTGGGTCCCTTGAAACTACTTCTGAAGAAATGTCTATTATAGGTGGACTCAGTTTTGATTTATCCACTGGGTTCTTCTGTGCTGTATTTGTCTCATTTGGAGGGTTTGAATGTTGAGAATCAGTAGCATTTGATACAGTTCTATACCCCTTGATTTCCAGATATGCTGACATGCCTACCAAGCCATTCTTAAGTTTATCTATGTAGCCTTCTGTTTTTGCACATGTAATAGTCTTCAATCCGTTCATATTACACATTTTACAGTCTGGGCAGGGCAAATTAACATCATGGATGTGATTCCACAGATGTGCTCGGAAGCTGTCTTCGTGCTTAAATCTGCCCCGACACATGGCACAGGCATACGTTCCATTAACCAAACCTACTGTAAACAGTACACATACTTGCTTAGATGGTTCCAAAGACTGTGGCTTATACAGAAAGCTTTCTGTTGCCAGAGTGTGTTTCTGACCTTCACTTGCCGGGATATTCTTGGAGGTAACTGTATGTTGTACTTCTGATGGCTTCGGATTATTTGGACTGTTGAAGGTTTGGGTCTTGGTGGGAGCTTTTTGATTTACTGATGGTACCTCCATTAAATTTCCATATCCTGCTTTCTGAAAGACAAGCAGCTGACAGTTGGGATTGACAAATGATACATTTTGTGGAATAAATCCAGGGGCTGCAGTTGGATTCAAAACCTGAGGAGTGCCTGATAGGGTCTGCTGTGATGGAACAAGAAATGACGTCAAAACAGGTGCAGGAAGCTTTGGTAATATTGCAATATTAGCACTTGCACTTGGACTCATAAAAGTTTGAGTTGTATCATGGAATTTCAGCTGTTTATCCTTAGGTTTGGGATTCTTATCTGGGCTTCCTTTACTTTTGACAGGTTTGATTTCTCTTTTTGAATTTTCTCCTGTTGACGATACTGTGGGACAGACAGCAACTGAGGTCACACCCATAGGGTTTACATTCATGTTTACGTTGTTCAGTGACACTGGTATGAAAATTGGCTGCATGTTTGGTTGCTGATTCACTGGCACAGTGGCCTGATTCCCAATAATAATCTGATTTGGGTTAGATGTTATAATATGCGTCTGGGGCATAATCTTTGGTGGTGACAGTGTTAGCTGTCCCACTACTGAGTTTTGTGGTGGAGATGTTAATACTGAGGAGAATCGTGTATTTGAAGGATTTGACACAACAGGTGTCATGACTCCACCACTAACAGCATTAAGAAACAATGGCACTGGAGGTACGGTTAAACCTGTAGTCTGTACAACCCGAATATTCCTACTCTGTGGAGATATTGTTCCTGGCATAATACTTGGAAATACATTTGGAACTGGACCAGTTATAGGTTGAACACTCACTTGGGCTTGTCCTTCACTTGGTGCTTGGCCTTGTGCTGTGATTGTGGCTGTAGCTACAGGACGGACTGCTGTCGATGAGACTGCAGATGTAGCTGTTGCTGATACTGTTCCTAGACTTGATGTAACTGATATGGAATAATCTTCAACTGGTTTCACTGACTGCGGTGTAAGGACAGCCTCAGGTGTACTGTTCCTCATTTCTTCTTGATTAACCTTTGCAGTGTCTGATGAGCTCTGTATTGCATGAAAGTCGCTCGATCTAGGCTGTATGACATTTCTTTGGTCCAGGACACTTTCATTACTTCTCTGATTGACGTCAGTCTGGTTACTTTCTACTGCCTGATGTAGATCAACACCACTCCCTGCCATCTGCTTTGCACCCTGACCAGATTCCTCAGACCCCTGTGGTGACATGTCACTGGTTCCTTCTCCTGCCTTTTCATTCTCCAACGTTGCATCATCCTCCATTTTCTTCTTTTTACAAGACCAGTACATACCATTCAATTTATCAGCAAAATAAACACATGTTCCCTTCCTTTGGGCTTCCCGCATACAGTCTTTAGCTTTCTTGATTGCCCTCAAACCACACCTAAGCTGCTTCCCATCATGACTCTCTGACACATGCCTTCCAATATCAGACCGAGTAATAAAGTACTGTGAACAGTAAAGGCACTTGTATGGTTTCCACAGAAGATGTTGCATCACATGCTCTTCAAAGCTACTACCAGAACCTATTTCATCGCAAAGAAAGCACTTAAATTTGTCTTTTCTCTTCGAGTACCCAATGGAAATTCGACCCTTTTCAGGACTTTTTATCTTAATTTCCTTCTGGGGTGTTTTTTTCTTTAGAATCATTATCTGCTGTTTTCTCATCATCTCCTCCAGTGTTAACTTCTTCACCTGCCTCATCTTCAGTTCCAGTAACAAACGTTTCATTTTCAGTGTCTCCAGCTTCAAAATATGAAGTATCACTGCATGGTCTTTCTGCAACTTCACTGCTTTGGGCAGATGCAACTGAAGCTTGTTCACTTGATTTTTTCAAGTCAGGACTATTGCCTTGGGCATCAAATTCTTCTCGAGTAAGTGTAAATGGGCTTAACATCACAAATCCATGAGAACTATTTGCTGTATCTTTCTTGGCAAATGTTCCTTTTGCAGCTCTCTCTGGTTGACTAACATCATCCCTCAGAACCTCATCCTTATCCCGCTTCTCCTCTGTAACTGTGTCTTCTCCATTATTATCGGTCATTTTTTCATTTTCTGTAACTGGACATCCTCTGAGCAGATTTTCACCTGGATGTTCCTTATCTGTACTGATGTCTTCACTGATATTATCTTCAGTACTAGACTGAATGTGATCCACATCAAAAGGTTGAGACTCACATGTCTGTTCTGAACCATGTACCTCACCTTGAAAGGAACAGGTGTGTTCCTCATGCTGTCCCACAACTTTGTCCTTACTGATATTATCTTCAACATTGGCCTGTATGTGATCCATATCCAAAGGTTCAGATTCACAACTGAGTTCCAAACGTTTTTGAATGGGACTACAGGTGACGCCTTCTGTTCCATCAGCAACATCACCTTCTAGAGGTTCAGAAGCATCACCTTCTGGAGGGTCAGCAGCATAACTTTCTGGAAGATCAGAGACATCACCTTCTGGAGGATCAGTGGTATCATCTTCGGGAGGATCAGGGGCATCAACTTCTGGAGGACAGATCAGTGGAGGATCAGCAGTATCACATTCTGAAGGAACATTGGTATCATCTTCAGAAGGATCAAAGGCATCAACTTCTGAAGGACAGATCAGTGGAGGATCAGCAGCATCACCTTCTGAAGGAACAGTGGCATCAACTTCTGGAGGATCAGCGGCATCAAATTCTGGAAGATCAGAGACATCACCTTTGGGAGGATCAGAGGCATCTTCTGGAGGACAGATCAGTGTAGGATCAGCAGCATCACTTCCTGGAAGATCTCACCTTTGGATCAGAGGCATCAGGAGGCATCACAGCTTTTCTGGAAGATCACCTTTGGGAGGATCAGGGAGGCATCACCTACTGGAGGACAGATCAGTGGAGGATCAGCAGCATCACCTTCTGGAAGATCAGCAGCATCACCTTCTGGAGGATCAATGGTATCATCTTCGGGAGGATCGGGGGCATCAACTTCTGGAGGACAGATCAGTGGAGGATCAGCAGTATCACATTCTGAAGGAACAGTGGCATCAACTTCTGGAGGATCAGCAGCATCAAATTCTGGAAGATCAGAGACATCACCTTCTGGAGGATCAGAGGCATCTTCTGGAGGACAGATCAGTGTAGGATCAGCAGCATCACTTCCTGGAAGATCAGAGGCATCACCTTTGGGAGGATCAGAGGCATCACCTACTGGAGGACAGATCAGTGGAGGATCAGCAGCATCACCTTTTGGAGGATCAATGGTATCATCTTTGGGGGGTCAATGGTATCAGGGGCATCAACTTCTGGAGGACAGATCAGTGGAGGATCAGCAGTATCACATTCTGAAGGAACATTGGTATCATCTTCAGAAGGATCAAAGGCATCAACTTGTGAAGGACAGATCAGTGGAGGATCAGCAGCATCACCTTCTGAAGGAACAGTGGCATCAACTTCTGGAGGATCAGTGGCATCAAATTCTGGAGGATCAACAGCATCACCTTCTGCAGGTTCAGTGGCATCATCTTCTGGAGGATTAGTAGCATCACAGTCATGAGGATTAGTAGTATCACAGTCTTGAGGATCAGTGGCATCTTCTCCACAAACACTCGTGTTCTCTCTCTCCATGGTTTGAAACTACCATGAAATCACTACCAATCTCCACACATTGTTCAGGTCTTGCTACTTCCTCAGTTTTCTGGATCTGTTCATCAATCACGCTTTCTGTGGTCTTACTGGTCACAACTTCAGCTAATTCACTGGTATTTTCATGACTATTTCCAGCACCCTGCTCACCTGTGTGAACACTTTTATCCATTCTGATCGCAAATTCATGGTCCTCTGTCCTGGTAGACTGAGATAGGCTGTCATTAGAATCTTGACACTGTGAACCTTCTCGATCATGTCCTGGATGCTCTACTTCAGAAGAGAAAGAAGAACCATCTTTACTTGGTTCCCCTTGAACATTTTGTTTGGCAAGTACCACATGATCTGAAAATGGCTCATCTGTATTTGACTGACTGACCATATCTTTAGGTGGATTATTTGTGTCAATTGATTCATTGGATAATTTATCTTCATCAGAATGAGCATAGTTTGTTTCACATCCAACTTTATTAATGATCAACTCTCCTAAAGAATCACATCCTTCATGGTGTGTACTTGCTTGTGAACTTGATCCATGAACATCGACACAATCGTCACAGGCAGAAGCAGGTGTTTCCTCCAACAGATTTTGATCAGAATTTTGCTGCTCTGCAGGGGGAGATAAAAATACATCTTCATTTGGTTCACAAGCTGCTTCATCTAGATCAAGTTGTTTTGATTTGCTAAATGCCCCGTGAACAGAGCTTGTCTTATCTATGTTCGCTTGGTGGACATCAGTTGCTTCCTCCGGAACATTTTGGTTTGGTTTTGCAAGTGCCCCATGATCAGAACTCGTCTCATCTGTAGGTGTCTGATGGACATCATCTGTGTGTTGATCATCTGCAAGTTCATCAATGACTAACTCTCCTGAAGAATCACATCCTTCATTGTGTGTACTTGCTTGCAGATTGAAACCACATACAGAATGGGTTGTTTCCTCTAACAGATTTTGATCATGCTTTGGCTGCTCTGCAAGGGAAGTTAAAGAATCATCTTCACTTTGTTCACAAGCTGCTTTCTCCGGAACAGCTTCCTTTAATTTGGTAAGTATCCCATGATCACTTCTCGGGCCATCTGTCCTTGTCTGATGATCATCATCAGTAGCTAAACTATTTGTAAGTTTGTCATTTGATTCATTCTTGGACTTTTCGCCATCAGTATGGCCACAACTTGTTTCTTCAACACCTGAGAGACACTCATCCCTTTCGTAATCTGCCTCTCCTTTAGGACAAGTCAATTTTTTGGCATCGATAACAGTGATGCTATCAGTTGCTGATTGTGACACTTCAGCCTGATCGCTTGTTTTGGGTACTGACATGTCATTCTGCTCATTGGGGTCAGTAAATACATTCTGTGAACTTTTTTCATCCATCACAGTAGCTTCAGTTCCTGCCAAAGTCTGACCTTCAATGGCATTTTCTGAAGGCAATTTCTTTTCTGCAAAATGCAATGTACCACCATCTACCTCATCTTCGGACGGCAATTTCTTTTCTGCTGAATGCAATGTATCACCGTCTACCTCATCTTTTGAAGGATGACCTTCCTGAGCATCAGCTGTGTCCATCTGAGAAGACAAAATATAGAAAATGAGTGCAAAATAATATCCAGTGGACCATAGAAAATCAGTGATGATATCAAGTGTTTGTGAATAGTGAGCAGGTGAGCTATATGGCGGCGGTCAGTAAGTAATTGAGTCAGGACCAGACAATCCACTGATAAACAGCATGAGTATCGATCTACGCACTTGGGATACGATGACATGTGTCAACGAAGTCCGCGAGCCTGACCACCCAATCCCGTTACTCGTTTCTTACGACAAGCATGGGTTGCTGAAGACCAATTCTCACCCAGATCTTCATGGGTTTTTGTGAACAGGGTGGGCCAACCAGTGACACGTCATTCCCACAATTTCCCCAAAAGATGATAAATATTAATTGCCTGACGCTGCACAGCAAGACTCTTGCTATGCAAGAGCAGCCAGAAGTATAAAATTCGTAATTGCAGTATGTGCACTAGAGTATTATTACTTGTTAACACCATGTAAGTTGTAACACCTCAGAACTTAAATGAACTTATCTTGACATGGCAAGACACAGACTTAGACATCAAGATGTCCTGTCACAACACTGGTGCTAACATTAACCACATGATTATTAGTTGATATTTCTGTGAAGAAGCCCATAGCCATTGGTGAGGTACAGGACCATACCTTCTTACATCGTTCATATTTACATAGTTGTGTAGTACTCTCAAAATGCAAGTAAACTGTTACCAAATTTCAATTTTGATTTTGTTTCAGAAAGAGTAAAATATGTTACTGTTACCATTCTAAAAATTGGAATTTGGTTTTCTAAGCATATACAACATGTAATGTTTTTCAACTTTATAACAAATCACTAGAAGATTACAAATCACCCAGGCCCCTACAAATTTAAAAGAACAATCATCTGACATTTAAAGTCCAACTTGATCTTTTTAGACTAAGTCCAAATAGCCACCATCGAAATCATGAAAAATATAATGCCAAAAATCTGCAAATAGCAAAAGGCACTACTTCAAGATCTGTTTGATATATCTGCAAAGTGTTGTAGAAGGATATTGAACAGTTTTCGAGTTCGGAAACAAAGTCCACCTCTCACTTTTGAGACTATTAAAAATCAAGATAAATGGAAAAGACGAAAATCTATAATTAGCGACTTTAGGTTCTGTTTGACATTTCTACAAAGACTTGTTGAAAGATATTGAACGGTTTTGAGTTCTGCTCCGGAAACAAAATGATTATGGACGGACAGACAGACAAGGCGTCGACTATATCGCGCTGCAATACATGCATAGGGGATAAAAAAGAATGTGGGTGATGCAAAATAAATGCTTATATGTATAGGTTTGTTTTACAACCCAATGGGGTTAATTAATGTCTCGGACCAGACAAATTTTTTTCATGGTAGCTACTGAGCTAATGATGAACTTCAGAGACTTGAAACCAGAAGAATCATCAACCCAGTATAGTTTAACATAAAACAGTGGAAAGAATGGTCACCCAGTGGTTTTAGCTACTGAGCTAATGATGAACTTCACAGATTTGAAACCAGAAGAATCATCAACCCAGTATAGTTTAACATAAAACAGTGGAAATAATGGTCACCCAGTGGGTTTAGCTACTGAGCTAATGATGAACTTCAGAGACTTGAAACCAGAACAATCATCAACCCAGTATAGTTTAACATAAACCAGTGGAAAGAATGGTCACCCAGTGGTTTTAGCTACTGAGCTACAACAATGAACTAGAGACTTGAAAACCAGAACAATCGTATAGTTTAACATAAACCAGTGGAAAGAATGGTCACAGTGGTTTAAGATTATACAACAATATAATATCAGAAGGGGTGGTATTTTTATGACAAAGATTATACAAGACATGCTCCATCATCTCTCTAGGGACATGTCAAAACGCAGGGCTTGAAAAAAATTAAAATCTGCACTCGCCCTGCAGGGCGAGTAATATGAACTTTCCACTCGTCCTTCTAAAATTGTACTTGCCCTATGCAACATAATGAAAGTAAACTTAAATTATTTTATTTCAAAATTTTTGCTTGGACTGACTGACTGAGTTTAGTTTTACGCCACTTTTAGCAATATTCCAGCAATATCACGGCGGGGGAAACCAGAAATGGGCTTAACACATTGTGCCTGTGTGGGGAATCGAACCCGGGTCTTCGGCGTGACGAGCCAACGCTTTAACCATTTGGCTACCCCACCGCCCGTTTGCTTGGAATAAAACTACAATAAACATTACTTACTTTGTCTGCTAATTCGCTCACAATTTAAGATAGTTGAACTTCAAAGAAAAAGAAAAATGTTACTTCCCTTGACTTTGTGAGACGAAATATTTGAGAAAACTAGTAGATTACAAATCAACGTAGTGGATATTGTAAACCCAACAAAGCATGAAATAGTGAACTATATTACCTTGTTGAAAATATCAATGACACCTGGCAAGTGCGTTTAATATATGACAGGATTTTTAAAACATTAGATTAAATTAAAATTTCCACCTCATCTGTTTAATTCTTTCAACATCAGTCAACCAGAGGCATTTACTGCCATGACACCGAGTTCCAAGAGACCCTGAGATCTTAGAGGAAAATATCAGCTTGTAAAACATTACTGCTACATAGAGAATACCACACTCGGTCTCATTCCATACGAATTATATGAACTGTGTCCTTCCTATGGTATCCGACCCGGTTTAAAGCGCAGGTCAGATATCATAGGAAGGTCACGAAGCTCGTGATAATTCGTGATGGAATGAGACCGAAAGTGTGGTATTTTATTTATTACCCACGCCTTACATGCATTAAATTGACAAAATAGCGCATTTTTGTTCATATGTTGGTTTCAAACTGAAACCGGTTTCATAAAGAGGTTGCGGAAGAGTTTTGTACTGTAGTACAATATTTGCATGACGTCACACTGTAATGACGTCACTGCCTTGGTAACCAACGTCACGATGCATGTCAGTTGTCATCGTCTCGTACAGCCTCCTAGAGTAAACTACTCCGTAGCACCGCGTTCCTTGGTTTGCAGTTGCTTCATTCGGAAAACATCACTGGTGGAAATATTGCGCTTATGTTTTTCGACGGATATAATGTCTCAGTTCGACTCACAATTAAACAGTGACACGGCAACGTTCAGCAATGTTTACATTCCCACAATACATTTAAGTTGTAGAATGAATGAATTCGCGTGTTTGTTATGAATGAAAAAATAGTTACATCAGAATGTGACCTAATTGAGGTCATTGGTTATCCAATCAAATCGTTAGAATCTCAGGTCAAGTCGTTACGACACAGGTCAACGCGATACGACACTCGTGTGACGTACGAACGAGTTCAGTATGCAACTACCCATACGTTGACCACGTGGGTAATAATACATATTATACACCATTTGAAAGGTCTAATACTTCTGTTTATAAATATGAAATAAATTTTTTATCATATTATTCAAATAATACAACTACAACGTAAATAAGTTAATATTTAATGAAAAGGCAAGCTTACTTTCCAGAGGTACCACGAAGGGAGCAAAATATGTGGCGATTTTTTTTCAATTGTAACATGTCATACTATCCCCTTACCTTTTCTTTTATATTTTCATTTTTACGTAATCAGAAAATTATTTTTAAAATATTTCTCAAATAATATGTATGGTCGTCTATTTCCCGATATCAGTAGCTTTCTGCTCGGTAACGTGATACAACAGCGTGAAATACCTCCGTTTTTGAAGCTTCGTACGGATAACATGTGAGGCAATTCATTTGATGGCGGGTATCGTTCGAAAGCTCTGAACATAAACATTATCACTATACCCTTGCCAAGAGTATTTTCATAGTTGTAAGAAGCAACTTTATTGAATAAAGATTGGTTTCTAATGACGCTTTTCTGCCAAAGTCTGCTATGGGGATCGTGACTGGACAAAATTATGCATTTGACCTAAGGCAGCCAATCATATTGCAACAATGGATTGTATCCTCGTAGACGAAAACTTTTAGATTCAGACGAAAGTTTTGGGTAAAACCATGCTATTCTGAATGTGTTATGCAAAAAATCACCACCTATACGTATATTATGGAACTGAGTGGACGTATCGTGCTAGGCTATGACCATTGACAAAAATGCTTCATGCATATATTTTAGCATTAAACATCGTGTCCGAGCGCAAAGTTCGTGGCGACGAAAGCCAAGATGTCACTTGATATAATTTAATTACATGATCGCACAAAAAAGATGGAAATAGTAAGTTATAAATGTACATTTGAAAACTTTTATGAGTACTGTTATTGATTTTATTCATCGGTTTATTAAATTTGTATAATTATTATCTCGAAACATCGTTACTTTGATTACGATCGGTATAAACAAGCAGGGAATTCCTGAAAAATACTTGAAAATACTGCTAATCGGGAATGACGATGTTAAAACTTAAACTTATTGTTTTGAAAAATAGTTGGGTCAGAAAACGTATTCAAATTATGTTTTTCACTTGCCTGATACAAATTTTACTCTTCAATACGAGCGGACGAGTGGAATTTTGGAGCCCTGGTGAGTAATGTAGGGAGCACTGGGATGTGTTAATAGGGGGTTAAGGGAGGGAGTATTGGAATGATCTTGCATGTGCATTACCTGGGATATAGGTGTAGGTGTGTGTGTGTGTTGGGGTGGGGGTTGGGGCATGTGGGCTTGGGTTGTGTATATTGGTTATAAGTGTGAACATGTTCTGTATGTGAGAGGAATGTGTTGTCTGTTTTAGTTTTGTTTGTTATAAGTATAAATTAAGGAAAAGGTCTCCCATAACCCATGTGGGTGGCTCATACAACAAAAAAAGCTATTTATTTTAACTATGTGTTGTTAACTACTGGGTGAGACTTGAATAAATCTCTCTCTCTCTCTCATATACATGATATAAGCTTGTGGATATTTTGCTATTGACAGCTAAGCAGGAAATACTACAGATTTAGACAATGAAGTTGTGGTGACCATTGAATTAAATGCGCAGTGCAAA